CTTATGATCAGCCCCTCACAGGAACAGGAGAAGAAACCAGTTGCCATGACTGTTAAGTGCAGGGTTGACAAAGCCTTGCAGCCCTCAGGGCATTTCCTGAGGAGCCAGGGGCACCTTGGGGGCTGTCAGAAGTGAAAGGTGGCACTCCAGCCTGGCCCACGGAGGCATACTCAGAGATCAGTGATGCCATGCTTCCAGGAGTAGGTAGGACTTAAACTGGGCCTGAGGGATGCTGGAAGCTCAGATGAGTGAAAAGGAAAGGTCAGCAGAGCAGCTGATCAGAGGGCCTCAGAGTCCAGGCTAACAAAGACGCACCCAAAAGATGGGACCCAAGTTCTGCCCCACATATTCAGGATGTCTGCAGGGATCAGGGGCGCCACAGCAGATCACCTGAAAGCTTGCATGAGGTAAGTAGTGTAAGTACTCTGGGCCTCCTATAGGAAGCAAGGAACTGCAGGGGACAATAAACTTAAAAATTAGTCGGTTTATGAGAAGTGTGGATAAATTAAGCAAAGACAAAATCTCAAGAATTTCTGTTGAGGGGTGCTATGCTTCAGAAGGAAACCCTGTCTCTTTGCATACTACCTGTTGGTGCCTCTATGTGATCATGTTCAAGTCCATGGAAGAGGGCAAGCCTTAAGGTCAGCAAGCCATGCAGCGAACATATCCCCTGGCTGCTAAACAGACACCTTTAAACAGGAGTTATCCAAGCCCTTTGCTCCCCTTCTCGCCCTCATCTTACTGGGTATGGCTCATTGCTCCTTATCCACCTTTCTTCTCCTGTTACTCAGGGCTCACATGGCATCAAGAGACATAAACCCGACAGGCTCAAAGGGAAGTGTATTGAGGCTCACGTGGCACAATTATGTGGGAAGGGCCTACCCCTCAGCCTGTCACCTGTGACCATGCGCAGCACACTCCCCAAACCTCTGGGACCTGCCACACTCACCGAGACATCACTTCATCAGATAGTCTCTGTGTTGGGTTTTCCTTCATCCTCTACCCCCACCCTCAGTTTACTCCCACACATTATTTTTTTATCCCTTCATCCTCAGTGCTGAGCCCCAAGGATCCAGTCTTCCTGTGCACTAGCTCCCCCCTTGATGTAGTGACTGCCTTCCTCCACAGCCCCTTCCTCAGAGGTCAGGCATTCCTTCAGTCTGTATTGTGGACCCTGAGCCTTTCTCCGGTCCTGAGCTTCCAGTCCACACACCCTGCTTCCTGCTGTGACTCCACAGGGTAGCCCAGAGGCAGCAGACTCGGGCTCCGCACATTCCAGGGTTTGCCCAGTCACCATAGCCCACTGCCCTTTGTGCAGCCTCCAGCATCCTCTGCCCCCACTTCCTATCCCAGCTCTATTCCTATTGGGCACCAAAGCTACAGACCTCCCCCCTATACACACACACACTCTCTCTCTCTCTCTCTCTCTCTCTCTCTCTCTCTCTCTCTGTCTCTCCCCGACCCCCCAATAGTTCGTGTGTTGGTGTTTCTCCATTTTGTTCCTTACCATGGAGCACCCACTGCAGTCCTATTGCCAAGACTCTAGCTAATGCTCTATCCTTCACCCAGGCCACCCGCTGAGGGGGAGGGGAGAAGGTGCTTCAGGGAGGGTGCCGCTCTGTTCCTGCAGCACCTGAGCATTCAACTCAAAATTGCTTTTCCAGCTGACTACAGCAGCCCCAAACTGGAATGATGTGCTCTCAGAGCTGAGTATGAGTTAAGAGTTCAGTGGTGAACAAATGACTTTCTGTGTCCTGCTGACAGGGGTACAAGGATGAATTCCATTCCAGAGTTTATAATCTGGAAGAGAAGAGCAAATGTTCCTGAAAGGCTGAGTATGTGGCCAGAGAGAAAGGGACCAGAGCTTCCCCTGGGAAACTTAGTTCATGTTTGGATTTTTCAGGCAAGATAACGATCAAATTACAGAAAAAATAAAGGCACTCCATTCTTCTTTTAAAATGAACACCAGGGCCTTTGAATAAAACATTTTGTAAACCCATACCAGAACTAAGCTAGTTTACTGAACTTAGTCATTTCACCTAAACCCACAAAGCAAATGTTTCCAATCCCGAAGAAAGGCAATGCCAAAGATGGTTCAAACTACCATAACAGTTGCACTCATCTCACATGCTAGCAAAGTAATGCTCAAAGTTCTCCAAGCTAGGCCTCAACAGTACATGAATCTAGAACTTCTGGATGTTCAAGCTGGATTTAGAAAAAGCAGAGGAACCAGAGAGCAAATTGCCAACATCCATTGAATCATAGAAAAAGCAAGAGAGTTCCAGAAAAACATCAGCTTTATTGACTATGCCAAAGCCTTTGACCGTGTGGATCACAACAAACTGGAAAATTCTTCAAGAGATGGGAATACCAGACCACCTTAACCTGCCTCCTGAGAAATCTGTATGCAGGTCAAGAAGCAACAGTTAGAACTGGACATGGAACAACTGACTGGTTCCAAATTGGGAAAGGAGTATGTCAAGGCTGTATATTGTCACCTTGCTTATTTAACTTACATGCAGAGTACATCATGGGAAATGCCAGGCTGGATGAAGCACAAGCTGGAATCAAGACTGCTGGGAGAAATATCAATAACCTGAGATAACGCAGATGACACCACCCTTACTATGGCAGAAAGCAAAAAGGAACTAAAGAGCCTCTTGATGAAAGAAAAGAGTGAAAAAGCTGGCTTAAAACTCAACATTCAAAAAACTTTAAGGTCATGGCATCTGGTTGCTTCATGGCAAATAGATGGAGAAACAGTGGAACAGTGACAGATTTCATTGTCTTGGGCTCCAGAATCACTGCAGATGGTGACTGCAGCCATGAAATTAAAAGACACTTGCTCCTTGGAAGAAAAGCCATGACAAACCTAGACAGCATATTAAAAAGCAGAGACATTACTTTGCCAACAAAGGTTTGTGTAGTCAAAGCTATGGTTTTTCCAGTAGTCACGTATGGATGTGAGAGTTGGACTATAAAGAAAGCTGAGCACTGAAGAATTGATGCTTTTGAATTGTGGTGCTGGAGAAAAGACTTGAGAGTCCCTTGGACTACAAGGAGATCCAGCCAGTCAATCCTAAAGGAAATCAGTCCTGAATATTCATCGGAAGGAGTGATGCTGAAGCTGAAACTCCAGTCCTTTGGCCGCCTGGTGTGAAGAACTGATTCACTGGAAAAGACCCTAGTGCTGGGAAAGATTGAAGACAGGAGGAGAAGGGGACAACAGAGAATGAGATGGTTGGATTGCATCACTGACTCAACAGACATGAGTTTGAGCAGGCTGTGGGAGTTGATGATGGACAGGAAAGCCTGGTGTGCTGCAGTTCATGGGATCACAAAGAGTCAGACAGGACTGAATGACTAAAATGAACAAAGCAAATGCTATCCTAAAAGTTTCTTGGTTAACCAATACTTAAAGGGAAAAAATCTGTTTCCCAAACAGTTTAACTTATTATACAGTCCAAGTACTCATTTCTGGTAAGCCAATTTGGAAATTCACCCATGCCTTCCTGCCTGGGCAGCGGAAGTCTAGGTACTCATGATGTCATCTCCCCCATCTTTGCCACAGGATCTGATGCACCTGCTCTCCTGATGACTGGCCACTGTGAATACCCAGCCTGACCCTACCCTTGCACTTTCTGTTTAAATTGCTGTCCAAAGAGATTGGCTATTAACCCCATAAACTGGCCTCTGCCCCTCAGAGGCTGGTGGCTGGCAGCAGAAAGCTGAGCTGACACAGACTAAGGCAGAAGCCTGTTTCTAGCATTCCAGGGAAGCTGTGCCCAATTCCATGAAATGGTCCTGTATTGAGCACAGTGTGGATGAGGAGTGGTTGGAACCTTGAGAAGCGGAATTATTCCTACCACTCGCAGATAGACCCACAAAGGTGCATTGCCCCTTTAACTGGGCCCCCTTTCGGGGGCCTGCTTGGAGGAGAGGCCATCTGCTGTATAGCTATGCCCCACCCAAAGCTCCTTTCACTGGAGTGACTCGGCCCTGGTGTCGAGGTGTGACACAGCAGCAGGCCTTGGGTGAAAGGTCTCTAGATCTAAGGGCAGGAGCTTGAGAAAGCCAGGGAAGTGGATCGATGAGACCTCAGGGGCACAGGCCAGGCTGAAGAAGGAGTCCAATGATTTCAGATCCCTGGGAAAATGGGAGGAGGAGGCATCTGATGACCCCAGGCCAGCAGCTGAACATAACACTAGGAAGGGAAGAGGATTGGTGGCAAGCTGTCCCCCACCAAGACGTCATTGGAGCCTATGGGCCCAGAGCAGCTGCCTGGCTGGGTTCCATTGCTGCCTGAAAGAGCCACCTGCAAGGAGCCACTTGGCCCACAGCCTTCCCCTGGTGAGTGAAGAGCCACCCTCCCCCAGGCTGGGGCTTGGCCAGATGCAGCTCTCTTCTAGGTGTATGGCATGCTGCTCCTCTTCCCCCTCCCAAGCCCCTCGACACATACCCTGAAAAGCCCCCTTTCCTTCTCTTGCCAGCAACACTATGCCTGTGTCCACTGCACCTGGCGTGGCAGGGACAAAGGGTAGAAGCCCTTGGCCCTGTATCCACACACCCATTTCACATCCCCAATTGCCATGGAAGGAAGAGAGAGCAACTCACAAGGAAAAGGGTTTCCCAGCATGGGGGGCAGGGGGCCCAAGTGCCTCCACACTGCTGCCTGTCTCTTGGACATCTCCCCTATCTAACCTCACTTCTAGGATCCCTGAGGAAAGAAAGGGTAGGCCTGCCGTACTGGGGAGGGCCCTCATCTGGCAAAGTTGAGAGCCTCTGTGCCCCAGGGGCTCTGGGAGGCGGCTCGTTGCCAGGAGCCCTCAGAGTCCAGACCCCTCTAGTCCTGGGATAAGAAGCAATAGCAGGATGAGAGAAGAACATTAGGAGACACTAAATCTGCCCTAGAAGTGCCAGTTGTCCAAGGGGACCCTGGAGGAAGAGGAAGGGGGTTTGTCTGGGAGTGTCAGACTCGAGTGCTGTCCACTGTCTATGGGAGCAGCCCTGCTATGGCCAGCTTTGGGCTAGGCCTCCTGCTTCTGCTGCTGCTGCTGACCACCCACCCTGGACCCTCAAAGGCTCAGCACTGGTCCCATGGCTGGTACCCTGGAGGAAAACGAGCCTCCAGCTCACCCCAGGACCCTCAGCATCCTCCTGGGCCCCCAGGTAGGTGAAGAATCTCCCCAGCCTAAGTGGAAAGAAGAAGGTGCTAGTTGGGGTTCTTTCGCCTACCTCAAGCTTAGGGTGGGGGTGAGGAAGGCAGGCTACAGCCTCAGTTCCCTTCTAAGAAAAGGTTCTGGGAACTGCAGCTTAAAGCCCAGGCCAAATTGCCCATACCCTCCCAAGTGATGCTCTGGCTTTGCCTGAGGACAGTGTCCCCCTGAAGAAAAGGACCATGATCCAGTGGCTTCTACATAGGAAGCAGCACCTGGTGCAGACACTGCTGGTAAGTAAAGTGGAAGGCCCCCACCCTTGGCCACTACAGGGCCAGCTAAGAACTGAGGGGGTCGGGGGATAATACATCTCTGAGATGCCTCCTGGTACAGCTAGCTGTGGGTGCTGTTATCTGATACTCCAGAAGTCTCGACAATGGTAAAGCGTCTGCCTACAATGCCGGAGACCCGGTTCCATCCCCGGGTCGGGAAGATCCCCTGGAGAAGGAAATGGCAACCCACTCCAGTACTCTTGCCTAGAAAATTCCATGGATGGAGGAGCCTGGTGGGCTACAGTCCATTGGGTCGCAAAGAGTCGGACACGACTGAGCGACTTTTCACTTTCACAACAATTTATTATGATATGACAGCGACAATTTATGATGAGATGCCCCCTGTGTCCCTGCTGTTGGGCTTCCCTGATAGCTCAGCTGGTAACGAATCCGTACGCCCAATGAGCTAGAAAACCCGCACGCTGAATCCTCTAAGAGGCAAAGGGCAACGACAGGACATGAGCGTCGCAAAACTACCGGTTGCCGATCCTGCGCAGAGAAGCCGAGCCGGGACGGGAGAGAGAAAGAGGGAATAGGAACAGGAGGAGCGGGGAAGAGGGGGCGGGTAAAGCCACAGTTCCGCGGTCAGGTGACCAGAACGTCCACTGGAATGACCGCCCCCTTCTGCAGACTGGACTCCGAGCGCCACGCCACGCCGCCCTCCAATAAAGGTGTGAGACCCCTGAAGTTCTTGCATCGAGTTCTTTTTTTCTCCTGACTCCTGCTAACAGATCTTTGTCTCCTCTCTCTCTCACCCCTACTCCCTGCATGGGAGCTGGAGGGATGCGGGTGGCGGACACGCGGGCGGGAGTCGACCCCGCGGAGGACAATAGCCAGGTACTGGGACTGGGACGGAAGTAAAACTGCGGGCTCCACAGGGTGGGGGCGGAGCCCGCGGACTACACGTCCCGTGGTGCACCGCGACCACTTCCGGGCCCCCATGATGCCCTGCGGCGTGCCGGAGGCGGGGCGGTCTCGCCATGCTGCGCGCGCTGAGAACCCTGGGCGCGCGGCCGTTAGGCCGCCCTCCAGCCCATTTTCTGCTCCTCGCGCGCGGCCGAAAAACCCGCCACGACCCGCCGGCCAAGTCCAAGATCGGGCGCGTGGCGACCCCTCCCGCCGTGGATCCTGCGGAATTCTTCGTGCTGACGGAGCGTTACCGGCAGTACCGCCAGACGGTGCGCGCCCTCAGGTATGTGTTGGATGGGGAGGCGGCGCCCTCTGGCGTGTATTTTAGGGCGGGCAGTTGAAGACACTGCGGGCCCTGGGCGCGTTTCTATCCAGGCAGGAGTTCGTGACCGAGGTACGCAGGAAAGCGCACGAGGCCCGGGCTGGTGTCCTGGCAGAGCGCAAGGCGCTGCAGGAGGCCGCTGAGCACCGCGAGCTGATGGCCTGGAACCAGGCGGAGAACCAGCGGCTGCATGAGCTGCGGTGAGTGGGGCAGGAGGCGGGGCGGGGCCGCGTGACCGGCCCTCAAACACCCAGCCACGCTCAGTCTGGGCCTCTCGCCCCTCCCAGGATGGCCAGGCTGCGGCAGGAGGCACGGGAGCAGGAGCGGCGGCAAGCGGAGGAGGCGGCCCGGGAAGCCCGAGAGGCGGAGGCCTGGGCCCAGCTCAAGGAGCGGGAAGTGCTGCAGCTGCAGGTGGGCCGCGTCTCCAGAGGGTGGGGCTGCTAAACCAGCGCTCAGTGAGCGGGGCGGAAGGTGCAAAGAGAAGAGACTAGCCTTGAGTCTTGAGAGAGGGGGTTCGCAGGTGAGGGTTTGGGAGAGGAGGCGTGCAGCGAGAGCGTCTCAAGTTGCCACTGCAGTATTCACGTGGCTAGACGGTGTCTGTGAGACGGGCCTCCGCGTTTCCCTAGGAGTTTATACTTTGTCCTGAAGGTGAGAAAGTCATCAAAGCTTAAATGTTTTGGCGTGAGATGGCAGGTGTGAGACTTAAAAGCAGCGAAGCCTATTAGCAGTGATCCAGAGAGAATGGATGAGGCTTGATAGAAGGAGAAGGACGATTTGAGAGAGATTGAGAGACCTCGACAATTCTGAGAGACTGATTACGCCCAGTGACGTGTCACAGCTGGGGTGCCTGGGTTTTGGCCTAAGTGTTCAGGGAATGATTGTCTTAAAACAAGGTGACAAAGCTGCCTAATGTTCTTCCACTGGAAGATCATTGGGGCGCTCAGAGAAGACCTGGGCTCCAGACATCTTTCCCACGGCAGAGCTGGAGCCCCTCCTTCAGTGGGCTAAAAGCCAGCAGGCTTGTTCTGGGGACTCCCATTCAGCTGAATTTCTCTTTTCCAGTTCACTTCATTTCAGTCGCTCAGTCGTGTCCAACTCTTTGCGACCCCGTGGACTGCAGTACGACAGGCTTCCCTGTCCCATCACTAACTCCTGGAGCTTACTCAAACTTATGTCCATGGAGTTGGTGATGCCATCCAACCATCTCATCCTCTGTCGTCCTCCCACCTACAATCATTCCCAGCATCAGGGTCTTTTCATATGAGTCAGTTCTTTGCATCAGGTGGCCAAAGTATTGGAGTTTCAGCTTCAGCATCAGTCCTTCCAATGAATATTCAGGATTGATTTCCTTTAGGATGGACTGGTTGGATCTCCTTGCAGTCCAAGTGACTCTCAAGAGTCTTCTCCAATACCACAGTTCAAAAGCATCAATTCTTTGGCGCTCAGCTTTCTTTATAGTCCAAATCTCACATCCATACATGACTGCTGGAAAAATCATAGCTTTGACTAGACAGACCTTTGTTGGCAAAGTAATGTCTCTGCTTTTTAATATGCTGTTTAGGTTGGTCATAGCTTTTCTTCCAAGGAGCAAGTGTCTTTTAATTTCATGGCTGCAGTCACCATCTGCAGTGATTTTGGAGCCCAGGAAAATAAGTCAGCTACTGTTTTCCCATCTATTTCCCATGAAGTGATGGGACCAGATGCCATGATCTTAGTTTTCTGAATGCTGAGTTTTAAGCCACCTTTTTCACTCTGCTCTTTCACTTTCATCTTTTCCAATAGGAGGACGCAAAAAACTTCATCACCCGAGAGAATCTGGAGGCACGGGTGGAAGAAGCTTTGGATTCCCCCAAGAGCTACAATTGGGCTATCACCAGAGAGGGGCTGGTGGTCAAGCCACAGCACAAGGGCTCCTGAGGTCCCAGTGAGGACAATACCCACCCAGGGACCATGGAAGTAAAGGGGTTGGGTCTGATCTGAAATAAAGCAGTTGGTGTTTCTGATGAAGGAAAAGGTTCTACCTATTCCAGTGCAGCCTTCACTTTGGGGCCTCAGCTCCTGCCACTTGGTCAGAAACTCCACACATGCAGTGCTGTATTCTACACCCATGTGCAACTCTCAGTAAAGCACCAGACCTGAGAAGTTTCTGTCTCACAGAGAAGCTTAGTCCCCTCAACAGCCAGGTTGTCTCCTGAGTATCCTCGGGATCAGTGGTTGGCATTTTGCAGTCCTTGGACAAAATCTGGCCTATTGCTTGTTTTTGTGAATAAAATATATTGAAACACAGAGACTTCCCTGGTGGTCCAGTAGTTAAGAATCTGCCTTCCGATGCAGAGGATGCAGGTTCATTCCCTGGTTGAGGAACTAAGATCAGGGCAACTGAGCCCCCACGCTGGGACTACTTAAGCCCCTGCACTCTAGAGCTCACATGCTACAACTAGAGAGTGCACTCCACAACCAAAGATCCTGCCTGCTGTAATGAGGAGAGTATGTTGGAACACAGCCACACCCATCACCGACTGCTCTCATACTACATGGCAGAGGTGAATAGATGCAACAGAGACCTTATGACTTGCAAAGTCTAAAATGTTATGATTTTTTTAATTGAAATATAGTTAATTTGTTTCAGGTGTACAGCAAATGATGCAATTTTATATATTTATACATACACACATCTTTTAGGTTCCTTTCCATCATAGGTTATTACAACATAATGAATATAGTTTCTTGTACTATACAGTGGGTCCTTGTTATCTATTTTATATATAGTAGTGCGTATGTTTTAATCCCAAGCTCCTAATTTATCTCCCTTCCCTCCCATTATATGATTTTTTTTTTTCCCTGTATGTCAAACTTGCCCTACCAGGGATTGAACCCATGCCACCTGCAGTGGAACCATGGAGTCTTAACCACTGGACACCTGGGGGAGTCTTATATGACATTACGGAAGTTTGCTGACCCCTGATAGGGGGCTTTCAGGCTCCAGTCAGGTTATCACCCAATAGCTGAAACATAAAGCAACCACTGACCAAAGACCTGCTCCTGCTTGACGCTGCATTTTGCTGGCCAGGGAGTGGTGTGCCCAAGACAGAAGACAAGAAGACCCCGTTTGTCAAGTACTTGGAGCAAAATAATACTTGTGATTAGAGTTGACAAGGTTGAATAAGTGGGCATATAGGTCCACGGCCCTTACTCAGATCCAGGCCCTCAAAGGACATCCAGGATGAGGTAGAGAAATATTTCTCTGAACCAGAGCTGCTGCCCCTTTGCCACTATTCACCAAGAATCACCAGAGGGGAAAAACCATCTTTCCCTAACTCCCACATTGTAAATAGGGCCTGAGAACCTTACAACACAAAAACCTTTGAGGGAATGTGGGTAATCGCTCACATTCAGGTAGGGAAATGGCTAACAGGTATAAGCAGAGGACCTAGGACCCAGCCCCATCAGGGCACTGCACCCTTGAGGGCAGTGGCCTCCCTCAGGCTGATCAATGGCTCTTCTCTTCCCTGGCACTGAGCCCAGGCACAGCATAGTGGGGCCCTGGATTTCAGGTGCTCAGTGCAACTTCTAGGGGGAGGGCTGGTGGGCACACATTGTGGACCAAGATTGTGCCCACAGCCTTGAACTCTGAGGAAACCTGTGGTAAACTTTCACATGGGACATTGAGCCTGTTGCGGGAAGTTCACTTTCATTTTGGACAAGTCCCTGGGCCTCTATCAGGATCCAGACAAGCCATCTAGCTTCAGGTACAGGAGAGTGTCATACCTTCTTGAATCTGACTTTGGGCCATTTTTCCTTTACTAGTGTCCTGCACAGAGCTGTAATTCCTTATTATTCACTGCTGATGTCAGCATGTCATGCAGAAGCTACCTATAAACCAACCTTGAACATTTTCTTCTCCACCCACAGCCATCTCATTGGTTTAGGTACAAATAGGCAGTTTAGTAACATGAGGGTTAACTCAGGTCCAGTCTCAACTGTACCTGCATCTAATGGATTGTAGAGTGCTGCTAGGTGCACAGGTAAGCTGTCACATCATACCCAGTCCACATTGCAGATACATGAGTCCCATGAAGAATGCCTAATCTCCAGTAGAATCCTGATAGGTAACCGAATGGGCAGTGTTGCTCAGAAACACCACGGGCTCCTCCGATTCTTGACTTCAAGCTGCAGATTCAGTTTGTATATGCTGCAGACAATGGGAGCTTGTATCACTTAGAGAACCTCTTGTTTGAGGCCCGACTTGTGAGCAGTAGATTCAAGGGCTACCCAGTAAATGCATTTGAAGCACCATACCCAAATGTAAATGCTTTCACCAAGATTTGAAAAGGCCTACAATGCAATGTAGAGACGGTAGGGAACAAGTAGAACCTGTGTTTGACTCGGGAGAGGTATGCTGACCCCCAGAGCTTTGCTGAGTGAGCAGTTTTTTCCCGGACAGTCTAGTGGTTAGAACTTTGATTGCTGTGGCCTGGGTTCAATCCCTGGTTGAGGTGATACACTGCTGCCAGGGGGTATACTACTACTATATTGCTGGTAGTAGTCCAAGTGGACAGAAAAAGAATGAACTTGCCTCATGAGTGGGTGCCAGATGCCTCCTTAAACTATTCCAATCAAGGAGACCACGTAGGCCTGAGTAAGCCTAACGTCATTCCCCCATATTTTTCCAGAATACACAAGATTTTCTGTGTGTATCCACTATCAGTATTCCCAGAAACCTTTGGGAAAGTTCCCCCTGAACTTAACCCTGTGATTATTTTCCCCAACAAATACTGAAGTGAAATGGATACCTAGGATGCAAGCCTAGGTGATTGCTGAAATCCAAATAGGAAATTAAAAGTGATATTTGCAATCCCAAATCTTGAGACAAGCAGACATTTCTCTTGAGGGGTGCTTTATGACAGTTCCTCAGCGCAGGTAAATGCATATAAGCCATAAATGTGAACATCCATATCAAAAAACAGCATTGTCTGGATAAATTAGAAGTGCAGTTTACAAGGCCTTGAGATCAAGAACCTGTAAAGAAGAGCCCCATCCTGCCACAGGGCCCAACTAAGTGACATGAAGAAGGGCAGAGCTGTGTGATCTCCACCCTCACCAGTGCTACAGTGACTGCATCACTGATGCTCAGGGATGTTCCACCATTCTTTGGCATTTTCCCCTCGCTGAGGGAAATGTTATATTCATGCTCTTTTTTTCTTTTTTTTAATTCTGGCTGCTGGAGGAGAAGATGGTCTGAGTGGGGCTTTGCGTCTGAGGTGTAAACCTCAACCTTGGCTGCTGCACCTTTGCCGTCAGCGCCAGAGCCGAGCCTACAAGCGCTGCTGCTGCTGGAACTGCAGCGCCTGTGCAGGAAGGGATGCAGGAGCCGCACTCAGCGCCTCCGCTGCTGCTGCAGCTGCCAGAAGTGCCCGAAGCTGAGGAGGAATGTGCATCTGTCCTTTCTCTGTCCTTAGAAACAGATCTTGTTGGTGACCCCCCGGTTATTGTCATAATGGAAGCCAGCTGTCAAGGAAAGCTGGGAAATACGTGCAGGCTCCAGCCTCCTGTGGAACTGAAAGCTGTGGATGGATAACTGGTGTGTGCGTGCTAGGTCGCTAAGTAATGTCTGATTCTTTGTGATCACATTAAGTGTAGCCCACCAGGCTCCTCTGGCCATGGGATTTCCCAGGCAAGAATACTGGAGAGGGTTGCCATTTCCTTCTCCAGGGGATCTTTCCGACCCAGGGATCAAACCCGTTTCCTGCATCAGCAGGTGGATTCTTTAGCACTGAGCCACTAATTACTAGAGAAATGCAATCAAAAGTACCTTGAGAGATCACCTCATACTGATCAGAACAGCCATCATCAAAATGTCTACAAATAAGTCACTTGGTTCATAGTAGGCCTTCAATAAATCATTATTCCCTCACATTTAAAAAATCTACAAATAAATGCTAGAGAGAGTGTGGAGAAAAGGAAATCCCCCTCCACCCCTACACTGTTGGTGGGAATGTAAGTTAGCACAGCCACTGTGGAGAACAGTATGGAGTTTCTTTAAAAAAAAAAAAAACAACTAAAAACGAGTTGCCGTATGATCCCACTCCTGGGCATATATCCAGAAAAGAGGAAAACTCTAATTAGAAAAGATACACACACCCCAATGTTCATAGCACTATTTACAATCCCCAAGATGTGAGCAACCTAAGTGTCCATTACAGATGAATGGATAAAGAAGATGTGGTATATATATATATGTGTATGTCTGTGTGTGTTAGTCGCTCAGTTGTGTCAATTCTTTGTGACCCCATGGACTGTAGCCTGCCAGGCTCCTCCGTCCATGGAATTTTCCAGGCAAGAATACTGGAGTGGGTTGCCATTTCCTTCTCCAGGGGATCTTCCCAACCCAGGGATCGAACCTGGGTCTCTCTCATTGTCAGCAGACTCTTTATAGACTGAGCCAGGGATGTCATATTTATATATGGCTTCCATTATATATATAATAATATATATATGACATCCAATATAGATATTGCATTATATATAATGGAATATTACTCAGCCACAAAAAAGAATGAAATAATGCCATTTGCAGAAATATGGCTGGACCTAGATATTATCATCCTAAGTGAAGTAAGTCAGACAAAGACAAATATATTAATTACATGTGGAATCCCCCCAAAAAATGACACAAATGAACTTGTTTACAAAACAGACCCAGACGTAGAAAGCAATCTTATGATTACCAACAGAGAAAGATCAGGGGAAGGAATAAATTGGGAGTTTGGGATAAGCAAATACACACTGCTGCTGCTGCTACTGCTGCTAAGTCCCTTCAGCCGTGTCCAACTCTGTGTGACCCCATAGACATCAGCCCACCAGGCTCCTCCGTTCCTGGGATTCTCCAGGCAAGAACACTGGAGTGGGTTGCCATTTCCTTCTCCAATGCATAAAAGTGAAAAGTGAAAGTGAAGTCGCTCAGTCGTGTCCAACTCTTTGCGACCCCATGGGCGGCAGCCCACCAGGCTCCTCCGTCCATGGGATTTTCCAGGCAAGAGTACTAGAGTGGGTTGCCATTGTCTTCTCCGAAATACACACTACTATATATATAAAATAGATAACCGACAAAGATCCATGTAGCACAGGGAACTATATTCAATATCTTGTAAAAATAAATGTGTATAATGAATGTGTATTTAAAAATGTATAATGAAAAAGAATACACGACTTCGCTGGTGGTTCAGTGGTTAGAATCCACCTACCAATGGAAGGGACAAGGGTTTGACCCTGGTCCAGGAAGATTC